TTAACTCGATATTTACATATTAACATATTAATGTTAATTTCAGAAGGGTACAACTGATTAGCTTATCATCATAAAACTTATCAGTATCAGTAAACACAATAATCATCAGTCAGTGATTGTTAGACCATTATTAGAATCCTAGAAACACTAGAAGACCGTTTCTTCCTAGTATGGGTCTCATCAGTAGTGCGCATCTAGGACTCTTGCACCTAGAAGGAAGGAAGGACCCTAAGTATAGTGCGCAATCTCCATAACTCTAATTGAAACAAAATAGTTTTCCTATTCCAATTAACTTTAATTTATGCCTTCAAAAGATCTATGATGGACGGTAACGGATATTAAAAATACATTTTATTGAATTTCCGAACATGAAATAAAGTCATTTACAATAAACAGAATATAATGTACAAAATTCCTAATGTAAATTAGCATCTTGATTGTATTGCAACCGTGTAATTAAGTCCAAATATGATGTCGCACTTATAAATTTATGAAAGAACTGCTGAACAGTGAAAAGGAACATCAACGCTGACAAACGTAAATATGTAGAAGATCCAGAAGTGATGGCGGTCAAGGCTGCAAAAGACCGAAACTTCAGACAATAGTACAACAGAACAAAGAAGGTCTCTGAAAACTATCGTAAACCAGAATGACCAGTGAAAAGTAAGGCAGGCAAAGTAATCAGCAATATTGTAGAACAGCGAAATAAGTGAGTAGAGCCTTTTAAGGAGCTCTTGACACACACTGCGTAAAGTACCCAACTGCCTTACAAGACAACTTTGCTTACTTTACTTACGCCTATCAAAAGACAAGCTGTCATTTAAAACCCTCATTGTCGAAAGAAAAGAGGAAGGCCAAGGAACATAATACACCGACAAACGGAGACAGTCATGAGAAGATTGAATAAAAATTGGACAGAACTGGAAAGGGAGGCCCAGAATAGAGTAGGTTGCAGACTGCTGGTTGGCGGCCTATGCTCCATTGAGCGTAAAAGTCATAAATAAGTATGTACTACTGAAAAGACCCATACTCGATTGAAACGGCTATCCAGTGTTTCCAGGTATTTTAATGGTTATCTAACAATGACTGACTGATTGACTGTTTCAATTTTATAAAGAAACCTAAACTTTAAATATACTACGGCTTCTAAATAACAAATTTAAAGAAACAGTCTTACACTTGGAAGCCAGACCAATCTGTTCAAACTGTTTAACAAGTTGTATATATATATATATATATCTATATATATATATATATATATATATATATATATATGCTGAAAAAAATGATTTTAAACACTTGTGATGAGTATAAAATGCAGTATTACCCACTGATTTTATGAAGCACCCATCGATTTACATTCGTGACATACATAATGATGACTACATTATCGTTACAAGTAGGCTTCATTCTCAATGGATTATTCTAGAAATCTTATGGCATGAAATATGTTTATTGAAATGAAATTGATGAGATGAAACAACCATATGCTTTTATTTTGATTTATTCATAAGTATATAGACAAAAACTGTTGAGATTTTAATTTTGAACACTTTACAAAACTTGAACATTGAATATTGAATAATGCGTTTCATACAAATTCCATTGTGTTCCCACTCTTCCTTTCTTGATCTTCCCCCATCTTCTGCTGCCAGACATTACGTTGACACTCATGTCATATACTACTTATAAGTAGCTCGCACCACAATATCACTGATAAATCAGATGGAACTGATGCCGATGTAAAGGCTTGGATTAACAAAGCGAGGAAAGCATTTCTTTAATTAAAGAAGATTTGAAACTTGAAATACAATTATCAACCAATACCAAAATTCATAATTTTCAATATGAACATCAAAACTGTCCAGTCGAATGGAGTGCAAACCATCACTCAAAAGATACAGGTATTTATTAACAGTTATCTGGACAACACACACCGGATCCATCGTCCAGATACCATTGTAGTGCCTCCACATATATTCCAGTTCGCTTACATCTAACTTGGTTAAGCTCTTTCCATTAATTTATTTAACCGAACCATTTGTATAGCGACAATTTATATGTACCATTCGTTCTTATTATTATTGTCTGGTTTGAATGAGCTCACATGACGTGTCCCACTTGTCATTTGACCTTGTCAATCATTCGTCGCTTTTATTCATGTGTGTGCATGCCTATCTCGTTGATCACATGTCTGTCTTATTTTTGTCTGACTATATATTCTTAGTCATGTTCTATCTCTTTGAGTTGGCTCTTAGCCTTCTTCAGTTCACATCGCTTTATTCGATTTATTCACTGCGTCTCCGCTTCGCTTTGTGGTGTGTCCCGAATAAACGTATTCATCAATACGAGTTCATGTTCTGATTTATAAACCGAGCTTACGAACACGCAGTAAACCAACACACTACACCATCACTAACAACCCACAGTGACAGAGAACGAACCAGGGAAAAATCAAGAAAAATTGCTAGGAGTGGATAGGAAACAGATTGAGGAAAGCGCTCAACTGTATCACAAGACATCCTCACTTGGAATCCTGAGGGCCAGGAGATTCCAGTCAGAAGATGTGACCAGTGGAGTTCAACCGCGTCAGGTGTACTCAGTAAATACCAAAGACAAATGAGTGAGGTTGTGCGAAATCCCTAGATTAATCAGAATTAGACATTAACACTTCTGCCAAAAACTTCTCCACCATGTATTTGGAAAAAACTTCTAGAATTAACTATCTTGTTGGCAATTTCATTTTTTGCTTAAATATTATTTTTGAAAAATGATAATTTTGTCAATAGCAATGTTTTTTTATTTCAAAAATTCACATCAACTGTTTGATTACACACCCACACACACACACACACATTCACTTCCCCTTGATCGATAAAACAGTGCACAGCTGGATTACTGACTTGAAACAGAGAATATAAATTTTATTTTATCAAAACAAGATTATTCGGATTTCAAAATGCATGTAAATTATAATCGAAATAAATTATCTCTTGTTGTTTTCAATTAACAACGTGTATGTATACAACATATGTTACTGAAAAATTTTATTAAGTGACGATCAGTAGTTTAAATGTTATTCTTTCCTTTTTTTCCAAGAAATTTGTTATTTCAAACTGTGTAGTGTGTGTATCAGTTAACTAGACTGTCATATTCAATAAAAAAAAGTAATTGACATGTAATTTAACCTTGAATTGCAACATGTAACTAGCAGTTAAATATTATGAAAAATGATATTTTATCCGATTGAAAGGAAATGTATTTTCACTCAATATTTTCCTAAGACATAATAATTTTAATTTAGAAAGGTACAACTGATTAGCTTCTCATCAGTAAACACAATAATCATCCATTAATCATTTTTAGACCATTATTAGAATCCCGGAAACACTAGAAGGCTGTTTCGTCCTGGTATAGGTTTAATTAGCAGTGCGCATCTAGGGCTCTTGCACCTTTCAGGATTCGGAACCGTGACCTTAAGTCTAATGCGTGATCTTCATAACTCTAATTGAAGAAAACACAATAGTGTTCCTATTCTCATGATTCTTAATTTATGTCTTCGAAAGATCTATGATGGACGGTAACGGATATTGAAAATACATTTTACCGAATTTCCTAACATAAAGTAAAGTCATTTATAATAAACAGAATGTGATGTACAAAATTCTTCATGTAAATAAGTTTCTTAATTGTAATGCAACAGTGAAACTAATTTCAAATATGATGTCTCACTGGTGAAAGTTGAAAAGGAGCATTAGAACTGACAAACGTAAATATGTGGGAGATCTAGCAATAACGGCGGAAAAGGCTTCAAAGCACGAGAACTTGACACAGTTGTACGATACAACAATAAAGCTCGCCGGAAACTATCGTAAACCAGAACTACCAGTGAAAAGTAAGGCAGGCAAAGTGATCAGCAACATTGTAGAACAGCAAAGCAGGTGGATAGAGCACTTTAAGGAACTCTTGACACCCATTGTGTAAAGTACCCGACTGCGTCACAAGATAAGCCCTCACTTAAAACTCTCAAAGTCAAAGGAAAAGAGGAAGGCCAAGGAACATAATACACCGACAAACGGAGACAGTCATGAGAAGATTGAATTAGAAAATTGGACAGAAGTGGAAAGGGAGTCCAGAAGCTGAGTAGGCTGAAGAATACTTGCTCCATTGTCGGGAATAGTAATAAGTAATTAAGTAAGTAAGTAAGTAGGTACTCCTGAAAAGTCCCATACTCAATTGAAACGGCTATCCGGTGTTTCCAGGTATTTTATTGGTGGTCTAACAATAATAGATTGACGATCTGAACTTTACAAAGAAGCCTAGATTTTCGAAATAAATAGCGAATTTCAAAGAAGCTATATTACACTTGGTAGCAAGAGCCATGTGTTCAAACTGTTTAATAAGTTGTATATATAATATATATATATATATATATATATATATATATATATATATATATATATATATATATATATATATATATATACAAATACTGTTGAACACTTTACAAAACTTGAACATTGAATATTGAATATGATGTGGTGTGAGCTACTTATAAGTAGTATATGACGTGAGTGTAAACGTAACGTCTGGCAGCAGAAGATGTAGGAAGATAAAGAAAGGAAGAGTTAGAAGAACACAATGGAATTTGTATGAAACGCATGAATAGTAGTGACAATGGATTGTTGATATTTTGCAACAGGAACAGTCCAGTTCGATATGATGAACTGATATTTTGCAAATTAACGATATGGTTTTCCAATTTTACTGAGTAACTCTGTAATTTTCGTTCAATACAATTTGGTTGCCCCACCTTGTGTTCTCCTTCACTACAATGCTAGTATTGAAAGGAAATGTGTTAAAAAATTAAAATCTATTTTCATTAAAAATGTAAACAATACATGAAATTCCGGTAATTATCTATGTTTTATTCTCCATATTGAAAAATTCAGTAAAAAATTACTTGTTTTTTCAAATGTTTTGTTTTCTTTTATTTTCAGTATATTTGAACAACATTCGGATTTTCGTGATGCATTCACTGAATTTCGTAAAAGAAAATTTGTTGACATAAAACATGATCCAGCTATGCAAGTTCATGGTTTACGTGTATTAAGTGTAGTTGATAAATTAATTACTCGATTGCCTAAAACTGATGATATAGAAAGACAACTGTTAGTAGTTGGATCTAAACATTGTCGATATGTCCCAACGATTACATTAGTATCTGTAAGTGTGAACTATGGTTTTTATTCATTTTAGAAATATTTTTCATTGATACAGACATTTTTGTGATGAAAATGCTGCTTCATCATCAAGAAGCTATGCATAGCGTAGTTCACCCATGTCACATAGGAGATAGCTGTTCATTGTAGGACTAGCAATCTCTTAAATAAACCACAGTTAAACATATAACCGTTTTTGGCGGTTCTGCAGTATAAGAGCTCGTAGTAGGACCAATGGCCTTGAATATGATCTTTGCTAATTTTATAGATGAGTACTGTGCATTCTGTCTTTAAATAATCATAACTATGTCAGCTTTCAAAAATCGATTAAGAGGATCACCATCTAGGTAGTACATTAAACTTGTCATACATTGAAATGAATCATGAATCGATCAATGTCAAACCACTAATGGAATCCTGGAAGCACTAGATGTTAGTTTCGTCCCGTTATGGTACTCAACTTCATTGCTCATTCACGACTCCTGCACCTCACTGGATTCGAACCCACGATCATTGAGCCGGCATTTAACGGCGTTATTGTCTAACTTCGATCAATTCACAATCTTGCGCTTTCAGGTTTTTAATGGTGGCCTAACAAGCATCTTCACAACCCCATAACGAAAAATCATCTATGAAGCAATGAATTCAATGTCTATTCTGTTGGATTTTCCAAACATATCAAGAAATTAAATTCAAATACGAAGAAATATTCAATATTTTTCTTTATTTATGATTATATTGAGTTTACGTGAGCAGAAAAATGAGGAATTCAAGACAGAATAATATGCTTTAAGCTACTACTACTTACTGTCTAAGTTGCAAGAAAAGTTTACTTGTTTTACTCATCAATCATCGTAACAGAAGTACAAAAGCTGGGAAAAATATATGGTCATTTGGCAATGATTATAATTTTTCCAAAAACAACAAAAACATTATGTTTTTAAAAAGAGTGAAGTTTAATATAAACATTGTGAAATTTGTTATTTAACAAAATGTATAAGAACATTAGAACTTCCTGTCTGTAAAAACAATGTATTTATACAAACTATTCTGAAATACATCTTACTTATAATAAATAATTCTACAAAGTAAATAAATCAATTACTTGCGTCATCTCAATGAAGGAAGAGAAAATTTTAAGGTAACCTAAAAAGGGAACAATTGATTTTCATGACAGTTACTTACTTCAGTTTCCCCCTAATGCAATATATAGATCACTGACCACTGTTCACCTAATCATCTAATCTATCCTGGATCTTATTTTCCAGTTCTACTCGATTTCTGTTCATTATTTACATGTTTGTCTACGATTCTTGGTGTAGTGTGTTGGTTTGGTCTTTCTATTTTCCCTACGGCATAGCGGATTCCAAGTGAGATCTTGTTTTTTTGTGATGCAGATGATTGCTTTCCACCTTGTGTGTACTATTCACCTCCACTGGTTCTTCCTGATTTCTTCCTCTGCTGGAATCTGGTTTGTTCTCTTCAACTGCAGGTTGTTAGTGATGAAGTCTGGTCAACGGGTCCTTAGTATATTGTGTAGAAAATTGTAAATAAATGCATGCATGGCTTTCATGGTTCTCCAAGTTTCCATGTCTTACAGTAGAACTGCCATGACGTTGGTATTGAAAATTGTGAATTTGCAGTTGGTTCACTGTTATTTTGTGTTCCAAATGTTCTTCGATTGTAGAAATGTTACCCTCCTTTCTTCATCATTGATGCTGCTCAAATATGTGAAGGTTTTTACATCCTCCAAAGTTTCTCCGTCAAGTATGATTTGGCAGATGAATACTGTGATGTTTTGCAGGTTCTTGCTCTTTCCTTTGTGTTGTGTGCTTAGACCTACTGCTGCTACACTGATCGTCTTCATCATCTCTGAAGTCCAGATCATCCAGCTTCCTCTAAGATGTTGACGTCTTCATAATTCAATTGACCATCAGGAGAATGACGAAATGCGAGAATAGTCAACCTTTGCTCGACAGTGATCTTCACTTGGAACGAATCAGTTAGCTGTACTCAATACACATCTTTAAAATGAGTTCAAAATAATTTTCTCAATAAAACCAACATTTCATTTTATGAAAAAAAAACGTTCAGTACATAAAATGGGAATTAATGATCTTGGGTTAGTAGTTTTATTGAACTACATTGTTCACTGTATTCTCATCATAATTTCACAGTTTTCTTTCTTGATACTGATATATGAGTTCCCTTGGGAAACTGAAGAATTTTTATGGTTAATAAAGAAGAATTAAGTAATATACATACAAGTTTTTTACAAATTTTTTGGTTCATCAGTTAAATGCTCGAGACAGTGCTGTTTTTAAACAATTTTTACGACAGATATTATCACTCCAAAATTTTCAGTTAACAAATAAGAATTTCTATAATGTCGAAATTGCTAATAAACATATTTGTATTTTTTGGAACCATGAATCGATCAATGTTAGACCACCATTAGAAACCTGGAAGCACTGGACGGCCGTTTCGTCCTGGTATGGGACTCATCAGTGGCAGTGTACACTCACGACTGCTGCACCTCACAGGATTCGAACCCAGGACCTTCGGTATTGTGCGCGAACGCCCTAACCGTTAGACCACTGAGCCGAAGCGGCCCCCTAGTGCTTCCAGGTTTCTAATGATGGTCTAACATTGATCGATTCATGGTTTCAAAAAATGTGTAACTTAACAATCTTCACAACCCCTGTATTGCATATTTGTATTTACTCACTTTTATTTATGATTTTATCTAGAGTGTTTCAGATCAATTATGGGGTGCAATAGAACCAGTGTTAAAAGAAGAAGGCCTATGGTCAGATGATTTAGCAGTTACATGGAAATCAGTTCTTGATTATTTAACTAAAACAGTCAAATATGGTTTAGCTAAAACATTCCATTCTACACATAAATAAAATTTAATTTACTATTTTTCATCTTTTAAAACAAATCACAACAGAAATTGTAAATAGAGCCAATTAAAAAAAAAACACACAAATGTAAATGTTGTACACAACAGATGAATGAATGATAAAACACTTTTTCTCTTTAATGACATTGAATCTTGAAAAAATTGAATTTCCCTATTCAATATTCAATATTCAATATTTTGTGTTCAAACAAAATTGACTGAAAAAAAGAATTAAATAGCATACTCTCATTTATGAATTTGAATGACAATGCAAGAAAAAAAAACCAAAACTCAGTCAATGATTTCATCAATCGAAATATTTCTATGTACATAGTTAGTTGTCAAACAATATACTTACTATATTTCATTCCCTGTTTATTTATTTATTAAGCGGATGCTCATCCAACTTTATTTGGCAAGAGAAGAATCCATGCATACTTGATGATTGAATGAGTGAATGAGTGTGTCAATAACAAAAATAATAATAATATTGATCACAATTTTGGTTAATCATTTTACCAATTATCGATTTATTTTATTCTTTGTTGATCAGTTGTAACGTGATTGTAAAAAAAACGAAAAGAAAACTTTTTTCACGATGGGTACTTATCGATCGATCGATCGATCGATGAGGATGAAAAGCAATAATAATAAATAAATAAAAGTGAAATAAAGAAGTTTCATCTTTTTTATGAGTATATGCAAAATGATTTGTTTATGAAGGAAAATTTTAATCAGATTTCACAGATTTTTGTAGACAATACCTTGCATAAACGTGGATTATGAAGATGTTATTTAGTCAGGTTAAAATTTTCTTACTTTTATTCATTGCTTACGTTTGTTATCTCTCGTGGAGCATAGACCGTCGACCAGCGTTCTGCAGCCTATCCAATCGCTGTTCTTTGACCTTGAAGGTTTGATATGCTTGAAACTGTTACGATTTCATTTTACTCGGTAAACGGAGCGAAGACAAATGATGCAATGATACAATAGGCCATTCGAATCAGTTGTCCCAGCTCCGGATAACAAAAGCAAGAAGTCTTGATAAGGAGTAGAGAATGTATTTTACAAGCACCTAGAAGATACGAGGTTGCTAAGCACACACACATGCAAGCTTATTTATACAATGATAGCAACACAAAATAGCGTACTAAAATAATCCATCAACTAATGACAATCAAGGATTTTCCAAATGGGAAATGTAAGCTGAAGGTCAGCTAAGCGACGTATGCACGAAAACATCAAAAAATCAAAATTTCAAAAATAAATTACAGCTTAGGACTTTTTTCAAGTGAATTCTGGGGATCTAATGTCCCCAACATGATTCTAAATGAGGGAGTGTCTTGTATCACAGTTGGATGATTTTCGCAATGTGTGTCCTATCCACCACAAGCGATTTTTCTTAATTTCTTCCTCAGGTGGAATCTGCTCTTTGTTCACTGACAGAGAAGGTTGTTGCTGATGATGTCTGATCAACGGATCTGGAGTGCGTTGTGTAGACATCTCTTATTAGGCACCTCCTTCCTTTGCATAATGGCTGTTGTGATTCTCCAAATTTCCTCTCCGTACAATGAAATTATCTTCAGTTTTGTATTTCAGATTCTGACTTTCATGTTTTGAGTTCCAGATGTCCTTCAATAGTAAGAATGATGAACTTGCTTTGCTAATCCATGTTTTGGCATCGGCATCAGATCCACCGTGCTCATCAAAAACATACGTCACAGTATATGTTTAGTTATACAACAAGTGAAAACCATCAAGCAGTTGAAAATATGTTTCCATCTTGTATAGGCCTCCAAAACAGTGGGCATCCGTAACCTTACAGTAGTTCTAACACATAACCTACTGACCTCTCTTTAAATGGATTACTAAATGAATAGGGTTTTTTCTTCATTCTATTCCAAATGATATGCTTATTAAAATCATATACTTTGAATAATTCCTTAGATTTTAAAGACGATTTCGAGAATAAACGTTGATTACGACGATGTTATTGAATCATTTAAAATATTTCAGCCTACTCTGTCTTGGTTCTTCTTTCACAATTCTATCCGATTGCCGTTCATTCGTCCAATTATTGGAGAATTACATTCCATGGTAACTCTTTTAAAACGCTAACCAGAAAAAAACAATTCAAACTATTTAGAAGAGTTACAAAATTACTGCGTAAAATTTTATCGGAAAAGAATAAAATCTCAAGTTTTAGCTGTCATAATGAACAGACTGGAAATCGATAATGGAATTTTTCATAATGAAACAGTAAGGTGAGAAGGTTTTCTGTTACACTAGATTCACTGTCAACTAGGTTGAATAACTTCAAAACTTCTTACTATAATCCTAATTCGAACATGATCAATTGTAGGGATATGATAATAAGATAGACATATGCAACGTAGAACTTCGTACGTTAGTACATCAGTTCATTTTGCCATACCACATTAGCACAGAGATATAATTGTCGATTCAAATCTAGTAGTAGTAGAGGTAGTAAAGGTATTGGAAGCAATCGGAGAGGTATTATTCAAGAAGTATGACTTGGTGAGATAATTTTAGAAAGACAAAACTAGAGGCGTTGAAGAACCCAGAAGATTAGGATTTGAGAGAATAAATGCACCGGCGCCATTGCAAATGGTTTTGAGTCATGTCATTCAGGTTCTCTAACCATCGATTATTGTCATCTCGCGGACCCCAACCAGGTAGTCAACAACTACCAACATGACTAAGTACACTCGTCAATGACTTCATGGATTTCTGCCATGTTTTGGTTTGGCCGACCCTAACTTTCTTCAAACCTATTCCTACACTACAAAACAAAGCTCGTCGAGGCAGTCGGTAGTTGCGCATTCGTAACATATGTCCCATCCACCTCAATTGATGAAGTTTCATTACTTCATCTACTGATCCGCCATTCTTACCTAGCACCCGTTTCCTAATACAGCGTTGCTCACTCGGGTGTCCCAGGATGTACGAGCAATACCTCGAAAACACCTATGATCGAAGACTAGTAATCGACGAATATCTTCTACTCTCACTGGCCATGTTTCACAGCCAAAAAGTAAGACGGAGAAAACTGCTGCACAGTACACCCGCCCTTTGCTTAACAAGTGGATATCACGCCTACGCCATAAGTGACGCAGGTTGGCAAAAGCTAATCGAGCATTCTGTATCCGAGCTGAGATTTCGTCACACACCAGGCCATCAGCACTGATGAGACTCCCAAGATAAGTGAAGCGGTCCACGCGCTCGACTACTTCACTCAATATCACTAGTTCAGGTGCCGATGTAACCCAATCTTGAAGCAAAATTTTATATTTCGAGGGGAAAACCGCATCCCGAACATGCTTGCATTGTTGCCTAGGGTGGTCAGAAGACTCCGCATTTTGTCAGCGTCTTCACCAAGTAGGACTATGTCATCGGCATATTCTAAGTCAATAAGTGAACCTCCTATTAAATGGTCTACTTCTGAAAATTCAGACGAGGATAAGGTTATTTCTAAGAGCATGTCTATGATAAAATTAAACAATAATAGAGAGAGTGGACATCCCTGACGGACAGCATTTGAAGTAAAGAATTCTGATGATAGTTCGCCATAAGCTCTCACTCGACCAGTGGTGTTCGTGTAGAGAGCTTGTATAAGGTTAATGTACTTCTTTGGTACACCTTTCAATGATAGACACTGCCACAATACCTCATGATCCACTGAGCCGAATGTCGCCCTAATTCCAGGAAAACAACTATTGTAGGACGCCTAAAGATATGATTATAATCTGGATATGAGATGGACGTGAAGGATTTCCATATTACCACTCACTCATCATTCTTTATTTCATTCATCTTGTCTCGTATGATGTTTACTGATTGTGTTAGCTGAATTTTTTCTGTGAAAAATCAAATATAATACACATGACGAATGATTATCATGTTATCAACAAATGTTACCATCAGATTCTTGTCTAATAAGTTGAATTTCTATTGTACATAGGCTACATCATTTGGCGTCCTACTTGAATATCTGAACTACCTGGTTATTCTAATATCAAAAGAGGATTTATTGAAATCATCAATTAATCAGTGTTAGACCACCATTCGTCCTGGTAGGGAACTCATCAGTAGTGCGCATCCATGACTCCTGCACCTCGCAGGGATTAGAACCCAGGATCTTCGGTCTTGCGCGTGAACGCCTAATCTATGGACCGCTGAGCCTGGTATCTAACGATGTGAATGTCCCATAATGCAAAAAATAATTTATCAAGTTACCTATTTCTGTTTGTTTTAACACGTCAAATACGTCTATTAATCATACAATCTATTCAAACAAATATATCAAAAGTTAACGACTCATAACTTAACAAGGCACACAAAAAAGTACAATCTGATACATCTCCAATATGTATTAAGTAGGAAACTTGCTAAAATATTCCGTTCTGAGAATTACATATTGTACTAAGCATAATAATATTGATCATAGCTATTTATTCTTATTGTCATTAATATTGCTATTATTATACTAACAGCAGGGATAAAATCAAAGATTCAAAGCTAACATCAATAGTTTTGTACTGAAAACTCTATTTGTAACTCAATTAACTCAATACACCTATATTTTGATTTGATTAACTTTGTTTGTTAGTTTTACACTCAAATTTTAGGTGTTTACATATCTTTTTATCATTAAATTGAAAAAAATTAACACAGTCTAAACATGCACTCATTGTTGTGTTTATCATTATAGTTGAATTGGTAATCGCTTGATTAGGTTTTGCTCTCTTCATTTTGTAATATGTCACGTAATAATATCTTTGTTTGCTTTCTAAAAATGGGTGGTTTATTTAGCACGTTATTTATATAGGAATGTCTTAAAAAATCACAACAACCATGGATAGTTGATAATATAAATCATAATAGTGACCCATAATCTGACTCCGATTCGGACAACTGATTGAGTATGCTATGAGTAAATCTTTCCTTAGGTGAACACCGTTTGTGAGACGGCAGTATTAAGAA